TGAATTTAAATCTTATTAATATAGTAAATACCTCAAGTTTTGAAAGTAATAATCGGTTTGATACATGTTAAATTAAAAATGCTCGATTTCCAACTATCTAATTCAATAATTGTATGTATTTACTCTTAAACTTACCCTTTTTATAATGTTATTGATTATATTCACTATATTTAAGTTTAAATTGCAAAGAATTTACTTGAAAGTGATGAGTATTAGTTGATGTTTGTATTAAAGCTTGAGGATGATGCAAAACTCTAAATACCTCAGTGGTAATATCTTACATACTTAATACAGATCTTCTAGCGGTCTATAGAAGAATCCTAGCAGCTCTATGAATAATTTTGTTGCGTTTTCAATGAAGATCACTCTATTAACATTCGTTCTCTGAAGTTCTTTCTCTTATTTTTGATATACACGCATGTCACAACAATAAGGTAGAAAGAGGTGTTAGTAACCATTAAAGATGAAAATACAAGATATAATTTAAGAATATTATATAAAGTATAAATTGTGGATTTGTGATATTTATTTCTATGAAAAATATGTTGTTTGATTGCTAGGTTATATATCTGGTTTTTTTATTTTTTATTTTTTATTTTTTTTTATTTTGTCAAGTTTGATCTAAATTTAATAATTGAAGCATGTAGGAAAGATATGTGCTAACGATTTTGAATTTGTATTGCCCTCCAGAAACCAGTTGTAGCCTCATAGACCGTTCCTTCATATCTTGGTAGGTCTTAGCATTTCCCCAAATTTGGTTACAAGAAGTCATGGGTGCACTTCTTGAATCAATCCTCTAAACTGAATTTCATTTGTTAGTTGTTCTTGAATCAATCCTCTAAACTGAATTTCATTTGTTAGTGACCAAAATGCAAGATTTGTGAAAATTCATTATTATTTATTAGTGTTAACCTTTGGCAAATAATGAACCTAATATTATATTTTTGTTCATGACATGTATTTTTTTCTTGTAGTAATTTCTTTGATCAGAAAATATGTATATGTGATTGGGTATAGCCTGAAAAATCATATTTTAATTCTTATAAGGAAAATATACTTTATAAATTTACCAAATTAAAATATCTGAATTTTATGTTTATGGTTATGACGATGCACTTGAACTGTAATGTTTACCAAATTTCTTTGCAGAATTTAATATTGCTGGTACATATAACAACTTATTGTTACTTTTGGTTTTTCAAGGCCAATATGAAAAGAGTCATGTAAACCTCCATGGAGGTTGGTACACCAGACAAAGTCAATTCATCAATCTACTACACAACATGTTTTACGCTAAAAATTAATGTATTAAAAAAATCAAATTGCTCTAATATAAATATTAAATATTTTTATTTAATAAGTGTGGTTCAAAAAGTCTAAAACTGAATCTAACTAACATTTTTTTATTAAAATTTCACCTAACACAATGTCACCTATTAATGTAATATGTATTTAATTTATATCCCCACGTTTAACGCGGGTCATAATCTAGTTATAACTGCAAAACCAAAAGAAAGGGCATTTTTGGTAAAATAATATATTATAGGGACCTGAAAGAAAAAAACCCTCATGATAACACACCATTGTCACCATTGATGTCCACTTATAAAGTTTTCAAATACAAAGTTACAAACCTATGCACGAGAAATTCCACAAATAGATTGGGCCCATATATAATAAGCATGTTGACATATTTATTTAGCTCAATAAAATAGTCATTTGTAGCATATATATATATATATATATATATATATATATATATATATATATATATATATATATATATATATATATATATAGAGAGAGAGAGAGAGAGAGATATTCAAATGTTTTTCACATGTGCTAAAATGCACCAATAAAAATTTAATAAAATTTAAATTATTATTTAATCAAATAAAGATAGATATTGAATGATTTCTATAATTATATGTATATTAAATGAAATCAATAATTATAATTCATTTCTTATGAACACTAATTGAATTTGTTATTAATATCAGCAATAATATTCTTTCAGAATTAATTCACATATAGGTGTCATGTATATGTTCATATTTTGTTTCTTGACTCACTTATTCAAAATACAAAAAAGTTGTCTGGAACATGGAGAACGATAGTATATTCTAGTAGAATGAAAGTTTATTTTAGAATAATGACAGTGTATTCTAACAGAATGAGAATGTATTCTAGTAGAATATACTTTCGTTCTTCATATTCCATGCAACTTTCTGTACTTTAAATGAGTGGGACCATAAACAAAACACGAACTCATACATGAAAACCTAGATGCGTATTCATTATGAAAAATATTATTACTGATATTAATCACGAATTTAATTCTTTCCATAAATATAAAACTATAATTATGAATATCACTTAACATACATACAATTACGGATATCATTTAATATTTATCTTTATTTAATTAAAAAATTATTTAATTTTATTAAGTTTCTATTGTTTTATTCCGACACACAATAAATATAAGAAAAATGTAAACCAAGCACTATATATATATATATATATATATATATATATATATATATATATATATATATATATATATATATATATATATATGGAATGACTCATTTGAGATTCTAAAAAAGTAAGAGATCTTCAGATCTCAGATACAGATTTTTCATTTACCATTTTAACGCTCCAATGAACTGGCTGCAACGAGTATGTATAATCATAAATGATTATATGGTGGAGAGTTATACATCTATGTATAATCATAAATAATTATACATATATGTCTTTTCAGAACGTACTTAATCATATATGATCTGGATGATGGTGGGGGTGGTGGTGGTAGATGTGGTGATGGTATTGTTGACGGAGGTGGCAACATTGTCGTCGATTGGTGGCAGGGTGGTGGTGGACTGGAGGTGGTACTTAATCAATGGAACCTTCCTCTCTCTCTCTCTCTATTTGTCTCTTTCTCTCTCTCTCTCTATATATATATATATATATATATATATATATATAAAGAGAGAGAGAGAGAGAGAGAGAGAGAGATGTGGGTTCAAGAGCAAACTAGGTTAAAGAAGAGAACCAACGAACTAACTGTTGGTCATTAGATCCGATTAGTGTAAGCTTCTAAAATCAACTGGATTGATTAAATTAGGAATATTGAAACAATTTCCTGATTAAAAATGCATTAAATGAGGAATCACATTTCTAATAATTATTATAAATTGGTTAATAAGGATAAATAAGGATCAAACCTAAAGTGTAGTAAAAAATAAACTAAATTTCAATATTAAAATAATATTTTTACTTCTGCTTATAAAGTTATGTTTTAACTTTTAACATATCATACTTATTTTATTATATTTTATATGTTGTTTTCTTTAAACAATTATCAGTTTAAAACTAAAACTTTTGAAGTATATAGATAAAATACTTAAATTGTTAATTTAAATATTACACTACAGGGTCAACTTTAATATAAATTTCAGTTCCACTTAAAAAAACCCAAAAAGTATTTTATGAATAATGAAAGCGATAAATTCTAGTACTAAATGCAAAAAAACTAAATTGTAATATCAAATCACTAAAATATTTCTTAAAGATATTCTTATAATCGTTAAAAATTTTGAAATAAGTATCTTAAAATAACTTATAATAATAATAGTTAAAAATAACTTCATATAAATGATTATATTGTTACTTTTAAAATAAAAAAAAATTGTTTGATGTTTTTATAATTACACTGATAGAAATTAAAACGTTAACAAATAAATATTAAAAATGAATTAACAATAACAACAACTATAAATAATATTAAACTATATATTATATTTTAGTTTTATTCATGAGTAACCTGCATGTAGATATGATTCAAAAGATTGAGATTATGCAGTTTTAATAGATGTATATATTATCATATAATTTAAAATAATCAACATATTATACGAATTATTATATCAAATTTAACAATGACATTATTGTTATATTTTAAAAAAAATATATATTTATAGAGATTTCAATTATATAGATGTTTCTGCACAACGCACGAACATTCGTCTAGTTGAAATATAAGAGGCTTTATCAAGATTCATAGCAGGAAACAATGGAAGTAATATGAGATTTATGAAATCAAACCTTCAAAGCGAACAATCTCCGAATGCATTTATGTTGAACCAGTTGAACATTGCCTCCACTTTCTTTTCCAATTATCTTGATGTTAGGAAATTCTAAAAGTTGGTTATGTTATAATAATTAAAATTAAAATTCATAACCTTTTGTACAAAAAAATGTATTACTTTTAATAAAATATTTTGAAAGTTAAAAAATTAAGCTGTTTTTTTCAAAGAAAAATATTCATTTTGTACGTTAAAGATAATCAAAGTTTCCTTTCCGTAATTTATTAATTAGTTTATGATTATGATATACACTTTATATTTATCAATAAAAATTTAAAAACATGACTTTTTTTCATGGTTGTAGAAACTATTAGTATTTATTTGTGATTATTATTATTTATTTGTAACAAACATTCTTGTAAAGTGATAAAAGTATTAATTAAGTATTTATTTATGAATAACACTACAAATATACGATCTCCATAAAACTATTAAATATATCTAAATCAAATTCATATATTTCTTTTATCTAACAAACGAAATTAATAAATAGATTTAAAAATTCATTTATTTGGTGACTTCACTGTTGTGAAAGAGTGAATACATTTAATAATGTTATTTAGACTTAGACTAATAAATTGTCCATATAGTTTGCTTGAAATTCTAACTTTGGTACTAAAAATTTTGGACTAGCATTAAAGGTCGAAAGTTTTCATTTTCTTATTTGTTTAGTTCAACATATTGTGATTTTTTTTTAAATTACAAATTTGCCATTGTTAATACGATTTTCTCTTTTTTGTTAATTGTTTTCTTGATTTTCAGATTAAAAAAAAAAAAAATTAAATTAAATCTCTCTCTCTCTCTCTCTCTCTCTCTCTCTCTTATTTTTTCCTTTTCTTCTTCATTTTTATGGTAAAAACACCACCGGAGGTGGATGCATTTTCGATGACCATCAAGAACAACTCCACCGGCGAGCGAAGAGGTTGTCATCGCCAGCACCAACACTTCCCTCGCCACCAGCTACTGCCTCTTTTAATGCTTCCTTTTTCTCGGATCAACAGAGGATCGAAGACCTTCATCCTCTTTTACGTTTTTCTGCCAATCAAAATAGAAAAGGAATGAAGGATCTGGGCATAGCCTTCTGTCGGCACCCATCCTTGTGATTGTGTAACCACCACAGATAAACCACCATAGGACCAAGTTTCTTTGTTGCCCTCGTGTTTCTTTTCTGCTTTTGTTTAACTTCTTTCTTCCCCGACCAGACAAGGACCAGAGAAACCCACTCTAAACCCTCCTCATCATCCCCTTTCTACGAACGATCATCACCCATAAACATCCCCCACAATCTATTGCTGCTTCCAATCAGCTCCCTCTTCTCGAGCAGACAAAGGCAGAGGACTGAAGTCCTTATTCCTCCTTCGTGTGTTGTTGACCGATTGGATCAGAAGAAGAAAGAAGACGATGGCAGTTTCAAGATGAATAAAACACCAGCCCTAGCACCGTTCACGCCGTCTCTCGACCCTCCTGGCTCCATCAAACGACCCTCAGGTCAGCTTCAGCTTCAGAGGCTACCACCATTCTCATTTCCTAAAACCCAAGGGTTTCCAGAGGTTGTCGTCGCTTCAATCCCTAGCTTCGATCTATGTGTCACAGCCTGGAACTTTTAGGGTTAGGGTTTCATTGCCAGAGCTTTGATTTGGTGGCGTTCATATTTTTTGTTGGTGGTGTTCATCTTTTCTGCTAGTGGTGTTCATCTTTTCTGCCAGTGGTGTTCATGATTTAAGGCGAGAGTAAAGCTTGGGTGAGCGAGTAAGGGTGGTGACATTCTCTTAGATAGATAGATAGAGAGAGAGAGAGAGAGAGAGAGAGAGAGAGAGAGAGAGAGATTTCATTTTTATTTTTTTATTTTTTATAAAAAATTATAAAAATAAAATAGAAAATGCAAATTTTCTTTTTTTCTTTTTTTCTTTTAATAAAAAAGTATTTAAATAATAAAAAACTAAAAAGGAAAAAAAATAAGGGCAAAATAGTGATTATGAAAAAGTTTATAGAAAAGTGGACCAAACTCACAAAAAAATGAAAAGTTTGGACCTCTGGTGCTAGTCCAAACCATTTTGGACCAAAGTCATAATTTTCAGCTAACCACATGGATTATTTGTGCAGTTTTGTCTTTAATAATTTTAGAAAAAAAAATCATATGGATAAAAATAGTATATTTTTGTAGATTGTGAGTAGAGATGAAGTATAATTTCTTTTCCTTACCATTTTGAGTTAAAACTACAAGCAATGATTTTGCTTTCAGTTAATCATTAACACTCTACCCCTATTTCCAGCAAATCCCATAAGAAAACATTAACTTCAACTACAAGAGAAAATGAGTACAATTACATCGCCACACCAACATATGACAATATAACCCAACAAACAACAAATTTGAAGTCAAAGACAATTTTATCCACTTTCGTCAACTCCATCAAAAGACAATAATGTCCACTACAAGGGCTAAATCTATAAAGGCTATGATTATATGTATTGCAACATTCTTTTCTTTAATGAACTATACATGGCCATTCCAAGACATCAAACTCACATGTTAGCCCAATATTGTTGATACAACAAAACCGGTCTAAGAATAGGAATGAAATAAACAATAGGAACCATAGAAAATAAACAAACATAACCAGAAATAGATGGTAGAAATCTTCTTTTTTATTCCTTTCTAAGATCCAATCAACAAAAAGTGAATATAACAGTTAATAAAATCTTAAAATTGAAACTTTTATAGGAATCACACACATACACATACATATTAGATGATACATGAAGATACATACAAATCAGATTCCATACATACATACATATCAGATCACACTTGATACATCTTTGTGTTGCAACTTTGTCCCAAATTGATATATTACAAATATTCCTTGGTACCATAATTTTTGATCTTGCAAGAATATACTAAACCTTGAGATTTGCAAGAAAACTCAAATTGTTGTACTAAAGAAATATATGAAGGTAATTATTAGATGTCAAATGCACTAAAACAACATCTAACCACACTAACTCCTGCTTTTCCCCTGCCTACTAGAGTTATGACTGAATGTTTTTGAGCATTCTAACACTCCTATGGTATACATGCAATCCTACATGCTTTGGATCTATATTTTCTCTAATATACATGCAAACTTTCAATTTTCCAAAGCATCATCCTAACTAGCATACTATGGAGTATATACACTACAGAAATCTAGTTAGAAGACTTACCTTTGTTGTAGCTTTAAAACCTTAAGCATTTAAGAGCCTAGCACCCCAATTGTGATGGCTCAAATGTTCACACAACACCACTTACAATAGAGGAACTTTAGAGGAAGTTACTTGTACTCACAAAATCGGCTAGCACTCTTATGTATCTCTTAGTTACGGATTTTGGTAGCCATGAGGTTCCTTATATACTACGACACAACTAGGGTTACACCATACAAACCCTATTGTGCATGACTTTCCACATTCCTCATGATCCATGGGGTTTAACCTGCATGGAGTATCCATGGGTCACCACAAGAGTTTAGCCCAAAATAAACAACTATGGATCATAAGCCCACTTTATAAGAATGAATGATTTACACAATCAATCCCAGTATATTTAATTAGTCTCTTTTGATCACAAAATTTATTCCAAATTAATTCTTGATCAATACTAATTAAATAATATGATTTCATATTAATATATTAGAACTTATAATATATTAACAAATCACAAATATCCTCTTCTAAAAAGTCCATCCTTACAAATTGTTCTGGTGCCATGCAACCTAAATGGACCATGCTACTTTCAGGTCAAGTACATACCAATTATAGTTATGGGCTTAGACACTCAATCCAAAAATGAAAATTTTGAAGGCCAACAAAAAAACTATCACATTTGATACTAACCAGAAAAATAACATAATGCCCTCAATTTTAAAAATTGAACCAAATCTTAATCTGAATTACACAATATGTTTGCAATTTGGCACCGGTGGTGCATCTACTATTTATATATGTACATGTGGTTAAAGTTTGTTATGAAAGGATTAGACATAATTCAAACATAAACACAAGTAAAGAGATATAGAAAGGGAAATTTAGGTGTTTTACCTCATTTGAGCCAAGCTAGATTATCATGGGTGTTTGCAGAACATCAGATTCATGTAAAGCCATGAGAATAAACAAAACACAATTATTATAAACCTAGACTGAAGAAGAGGTGTGCGAAGAATGTTTGTAGCATGAAAACACAACCTAGATCTATAACTTCATTGTTTTGCACCTTTGAATATTGAAAAATTATTGAAGTTGAACAATGTAGCCAACCTACTTCAATGAAACTATAAATGCATATAAAGCCATAAAATTTTCATTAGAAAAATGAATCTGTAAACCAAAAAGAAAAATTAACAACAAAATCCAAACCTTTAAATCGAGATAAATATACATAAATTATGGTTTCGAGGATACCCATAGTGGTTGATGGCGACGAAGGTGTCGCTAGGTTGCGACCACTAAATTGAGCCTATATAAACCATAAATTTCAGAAAATCCCAATCTTACATGTAGTTGAAGTCATAAACAAAATCAAGAAGATATAAAGTCAAAGAAATGAAAAACCAAAATCAAAAAGATAGAGACAGACAGGTGTACGTGTGTGCATATAGAAAACATAAAGAGGGTGTGCGTATGTATCTCTGATTGAACCCTTTCTCGATTATGCAATAGACAGAAAGAGAAAGTGGGAGAAATAAGGCAGATTGAATTCAGATGAGCAAAAGAGGAAGATATGTAGATAGTAGAATGGAGGAGCGGTGGTGATGTTGTGGCCAACAGTGATAGGGTGGAGATGTGAGCACCGTTATATCCTTTGATTCAACACGTGTCATGCATATTTTCTCAGAAGGTGATGTCGGGAGGTGATTACGAATCACGACGACATTTTTTGGATATGGGGTTTCATAATCGGTACATGAATGCCTCGGATCTCCATCTAGAGAGGGTGCGAGCTTGTTCTATGTAGTTTGTTCTTCAAACAGACACCATCGAACCTGGAATCTAGAACTATGGAAGAGAGGATGCAAATATAAATTTCACGCCTACATCGAACAAAACTGATCATGATGGTGCACATTTAGGGTTTTGGAGAGAGCAGTGGTGTTGGAGAAGTGAGCGAGGATGCGTTTAGATTATGACTTAACATTGGGAATGAATTTTTTTTCCTAAAAATTTGGGGAATGGCTTATATTGTCAATGTAGTTATATGTTTACAAATTTTAAAGAGACTAAAGGGAGCGAGTCGAAAACATGTGACATATATGGGGAATGGCTTATCTAGAATTGTATCTTATGCTATATCATTTATATAATTGGGTTGAGTTCAAAATTTTAATATTATTTATTAATAGTTACTTATACTACTAGCTTAATGGTTTGGCTTTCTTAAAAAAGTAACAATATTATACTCAATCTATTTATAGAAATAGTGAGATTTGTTTTATAAGATAGTGTGTGTGTGTGTGTGTGTATATATATATATATATATATACATATATATATAAGGTAAATTGAGAAAACAATATTGAGAATGATAGAATTATTCTCAGTCAATCATTTATTTTTTCCGCAAAACGTTCTGTTGCACCGATGCAACAGGTGACAGGTAATATTCACATGTGAATATATATATATATATATATATATATATATATATATATATATAATATATATATATATCCACAACCATCCATCCACTACCAACCATAATTGCCACAACTACCAACACCCGAGTCACTGAAGGGCCCAAATTAGTGGGTTGGTCTAAGCTTTGCATTATAATAGTGGTTTGGTATAGATAGAGTATCAGAGCAAGAACCGGTGTTAGACTTCATTCGATTGAGACCTGGGGCATTTAATCTATTATTTCTGCTATTTGAACTTTGATTTCTGTGTTCTGGTGGTTGAAGGATCTGATTTTATATCAGAAAACGTGTTTTTGAAAGCTTTCTGGGAGTTTGCTGCCAACCGTAAACCTTGTTTACAGTCGTAAAATCAAGACATTCTTAAACCGCAAACTCTGCATACTCAAGAACCGTAATCAGGGTGTCAAAAATCTAAGAGCATTAAATGTATAATCGGAAAACTTGCAAACCGCAAACTCAAATAGCATACTTACAAATCGCAAACACAAAAACCATAAACCTAGTTTACGGTCGTAATCGCATCAACCGTAAACTCAGTTTACGGTCGTAATCAATTAACTTCTACCAACTGTAATTTTTTTTAAACTCTTAATTGCCTTAATTTCAAATGGAATCTCAAAGTCAAAATCATTTTCAAGAACTTGATGCTATCATGGGCACCACTATGCGAATTCCAAGGTTAATGTCTGTTGATGGTTTTCCTGAGTGGAAGTACAGAATAGAGAAATACATAAAAATGAAAGACTTCAAGATCTGGAAATGCCTCATCAAGGATCCAGTCAGAATAACCACTATAGTTGCAGGGCAAGTGGTTGACAAGAAGATAAAAAATTACACTGATGAAGACTTCGAGAGTGTGGAAGAGTAGGAGAAGGCTTTGGCCATCTTGACCATGGCCCTGTCACCAGATATTGCTCAAGATTTCAGAGAGTATA